AGAGTTGCCCAGGCTGGCCTGGGACTTGGGATCCTCCTGCCTCGGCCTCCTGAGTTGGATTTCGGATGGCATGGAGTTAGAAATGGGCAGACGGTTGGTTTTAGGTGTTGACTTTTTATCCTGTGGCTTTGCTTTTTTGTCAGTTCTTTGCAGTTTTCTACATGGAACATCATGACTTCTTGAGATGATGGTTTCCCCGCTTCCTTTCCCTCCTGATGTCTCTTTTCCTCCTGCCTCGTCATTAGTTAGGACCTGCAGTCCAGTGCTGGCCCCGTGGTGGGAGCCGAGCTCTCCCCACAGGGACGCAGCCCTGGCCTTCCCTGTGAGGCTTCCCGTGGCCCAGGCCCCTGTGGCCAGTTGGCCGTGCTCCCTCCTCCCCTGGCTCCTGGAAGAGGCTGGCAGCCTCCCTTCTTCCCAGTTGCTGTTAAGACTGGGCCCAGCAAATGGAACCACTCGGGGCCCTTGCCCCAGGAGCCACGTTCCCAGCCCRGTGCTGGATTGCATTTAGAGACGGGTCTCACTGATTTATTTAGTACCATGCTGAATTGCTGAGGCTGGCTTTGAACTCACGATCCTCCTGCCTCTGCCTCGCCTCCTGAGCCGCTGGGATTACAAGAGTGGACCACCACACCTGGCTGTAGGATGTTTTTAACTATGAAGTCACCTTCTTTTGGGGGGGGTCTCAGGGATTGAACCTGGGGTGCTTAACCACTGAGCTCCATTCCCAGCCCTTTTTACATTTTATCTTGAAACGTGGTCTCAATAGGTTGCTTAGGGCCTTGCTAAGTTGCCCAGGCCGGCTTCAAACTTGCCCTCCCTCCTGCCTTGGCCTCCTGAGTGGTTGGGGTTACGGGCATGTGTCCCTGCACCTGGTGAAGTTACCCTCTTGAATCGCCACAGCAYGATTTGGGTTTTCTCTGTTTCTGGAGTGAGCTTGATTCCCTGGAAGGACTTGGAGAACTCGGGTGTGACGCGGTCAGGGCTGCAGCCCACGGGCACACCTCCTGTGCTCTCCTAGCCCAGCAGACACTGCAGTGCCTCTGCGGGGCCTAGACTCGGAGGCTGAGGGACAGGCTCCCCCAGCTGCAGCACCAGGACTCCAGGCCCCGAGGGAAGGCGGGTGTCCGTGGACGTCATGTAAAACGGCATGGCGGTTTGGGATGCATAAGAGAATTGAGAGCAGCTGCTCAGAGATTCTCATATGCACCTGTGGTCATGGCAGCACTGTTCACAGTGGCCGCAGGGGGAAGCAACCCAGTGTCGATGGGAGAGTGGAGTACCCTTGCCCCCCTGCACCATGGGTGGCCTAGAGGGCGTCTGTTGACAAGGGCACCTGCTGTGAGCCCGCTCCTCCAAGGTCCCTAGGAGCCACATCCCRGGGACAGGCAGGGCTGGGGACAGGGAGGGTTTAGTGTCCAGTGGGCCCGGAGCGGCAGTCTGGGTGATGAGGCGGAGTGGAGAGGGTGGCAGGGGAAGGGGTGACCACTGAGTGTGCCTGTTGGGCCTGGGCACTGGCCCTGTGACACCTGGCACCCCGCTCAGCCCCGGCCCTCTCCACGCAGGCTTGTCACCTCGTCTCTCTAGGGAAGGTCTCCGCYTCGTCCTTTTCAACAGTTCTCAGGGCCCAGTTTTACTTGCCATTTTATGGCTGTTCTGCGTCTGCCTGACCGTGCGTCCCTCTGTTGGTCTTTTAGCCTTTTTCGTTCGATATGTCCCCGTCCTTCTTCCAACCAGTAGTTCCCCTCCACATCGTCACCTTCCTGAGTTGGGTCCTCTGTGTCCACCTCGAGGATCTTTCTGGGGTTCTTTCTGGTTCTGGGTTCATGCTGCTGATGGTGTCCCTTCCTGGGAGAGTCTCAGCTGAGACGTGTCCCTGGACTCGGCCTGATACTGTGTTCCTAGTGTTCGTTTCTGACGGTTTAGTTTCTTTTTAACCCACGTGTTTTCTTGGTGATCTTTAAAAGTCTCCAGGTGGCTGTCACGGCTACTGTGACTTGTGTGACTGCCTGTCAGAGTGAGTCTTGATCTCTGCTCCTCAAGCTTGTTGAAATGTCCCTTCTGGCCTAACGGTTAGACTTTCAGAGTTGCTCACAGGGTTTCCTAGGAAGTTCTGTGTTTTTGTAGCATGATTTAGAAGCATTCTCCACGTGGCCTTTGGATCCTAAGTCGAGGGTAGCAGGAGGCTTCCTGGTCTGGCGCCGATTTGCCCTTTCTCTGTTGTTCATGTTTTGCGTTTGGAGTTTCAAAGTGAGTGGACGGCTCAGAGCACCTGGGAGCACAGAGTCGTCGTCTTGTGGGARCCTCTCCATAAGACAGAGGACCGCAGCACCCAGCCGCCTGAGCCGCCTGGCCCTGGYGTGGTGGCCTGGGGAGACTTCAGCCCAGCGCCTCTTCCTGACTGTGGCGGTTGAGGCAGGCGTCCCCAGGTGTAGGAGGCCAGCCAGGTGGCCCTGGTGTGGCTGCCTGAGGCKGCACCCTCGACCTGGCTCACGCACACTCTGGCCTTTCACCCAACCCAGCCTGAGAAGCCAGGCCCTGATGGCGAAGACCTGGCAGCCGCTGACAGCGTGCGGGCCATCAGTGTCCGCACCCTCTACCTGGTCAGCACCACGGTGGATAGGATGAGTGACGTGAGTGTCCGGCCTCAGTAGGCCCTGCCCGGGCTGCCCTCACCTGGCTCTCCCTGGGCCCCGCCCTAACCCTAACCCACCCCAGTCCTGGGTGACAGGTGAGCCGGGCCTTGCTCTGTGCTGCCTCCCTAGGGCAGTGCTCAGAGTCCCCTGACCTGCAGCAGGACAAGTGACTGGCAAGTCCACACCTGAACTCTGCTCAGAGGGAGTCCTGGGCAGCCCCGGGGAGCGGCCCTGTTGGTGGGCTGGCTGCCCTGGCGCTGACCGGGGCCCTCCGGGGCCTCTGCTCCAGGTCCTCTGGCCCTACCTGATGGAGTTCCTCGTCCCCGCGCACTTCACGGAGGCCCTGACCCCGCTCTGCCGGAGCCTGGTGCATCTGGCCCTCAGGAGGCAGGAGGCGGGGGCAGATGCCTTCCTGGTTCAGCTCGAGGCCCACGGTGCGCACTCCCCAGGCCCGCCCTCGCTTGACCCCGCCCTGTGCCTGTCCCTCTGAGTGACTCTCTCCGTGTCTCTTGTCCAGCCAACCTCCCGTCTCCCTACGCTGTGACCACCAGACTGCTGGTAAGCGCCGCTCTCCCGGCACACCAGCGGGCACCCCCCCACCCCCAGCCCGCTGCCGGCTTGGCCCCAGCGCCTGCCTCCTGTGTCCCTGAATCTCGGTCCCTGTCCTCGTGGCTGCCAGGGCTGCCTTCTTGGTGGGGAGCCACCCAGCTGTGGCCACAGGCTTTCTTCCCGGGTTGGGCAGCGGCACCTGTGCAGATCCCTGTGGCCCTGGCGTGGTCCAGCCGCRCACCTCTGCAGGGGCAGGTGTGAGGAGGACGTCAGCTCCTGCTCAGGACGCTCCCACCCCGCACCCCCCAGGTTGTGTCCTCCCACCCCTACCTGGGGGACGGGCGTGGGGCCGCCTCGCTGCGCCTCCTGAGGGTCATGCGCCACAGCATCCACCCTTTGCTGGCTCAGCCGTGGGAGACGGCCGTTCCTCTGCTGCTGGAGCACCTGGAGGGTGAGGCCGGCCTCGCCTGGGCCAGGGGCGTGTGGGTTTGTGAGTCTGAATGGACCCTCCTGGCTGTGGTCCAAGGCAGGGTCCCTACAGGCTGCAGCCGGGGCACAGGGTGTGGGCCGCCAGAGCTGCAGCCGGGGAGGTGTGGGCAGCCKCGGAGGCAGGCCTGCTGGGCAGCCGGGGCTGACGGGGTGCCCGGTGGTTCCAGCGCACACTGAGGAGACACTGTCCCTGCCCGAGTGGGAGGAAAAGCTGCTGACGGTGAGAGGAGGAGCCGAGTGAGAGTGGCCTCCCTGTCCTGGGCAGGGCGGGCGTGGGGGACAGGCCCGGGCTGTGCCTTCCCGGGGCCACACTGTCTGTCCACTTGGTGGTGTGGCGGCGGGGTGAGGGGCACAGGAATGGGGGGTCTTGGTTGAGGATGGCAGTGGGCCCCCGCCCCAGCAGCCCAGGACCCAGGGAGGGCCTTCCCGCCCATCCGCGCCTGCCCCCCCAGCCAGCCCCTCATGGCTCCCTCGTTGGCAGTTCCTGCGGGACACCCTGGCCGTCGTCTCTGACGACACCTGGACCTGCCAGCTGAGCCTGGAGATGCGCAAGCGGCTGCCAAGCTACAACAGGGTGCCCCAGGAGAAGGTGCTGGGTCGCGGTTGGGGCGCGTCCCCCTGGGAGAGGGGAAAGCCTGAGGCCCACCTCCCGCTGCCTAGACACTCTGGGCTCTGCCCTCTGTCCTCGGGCCTGCCACGTCCCCTGGGCAGGACGGCACCATCTCCCTGGGTGAGGGAGCGGCTGCAGCTGAGCCCTGTGGCCCTGTTCCAGAACTTCCTGTACAAGTGTCTGGGGACCACGCTGGCCGCGGCTGTGAGCAGGGAGGTGGTGAGGAAGAGCCTGCAGGAGCTGCTGGGAGCCGCCAGCTACCAGCAGCAGGCGGAGCACGAGGTGGGCGCCCAGGACAGAGCCCTGTCCCGAGGTGCAGGTGTGTGCGTGGCGCCCCGTCTGCAYCCCGGCGTGTGTGTGCCCCTTCCCACACCCAGCAGCGGGGTGGGCTGGGGCCTCCTGGCCCAGACATGAGCACCGCTGAGTGTCTATCCCAGGGCCTGGCCTGCTGCTTTGGGATCTGTGCCACTGCCCACCTTGAGGACACTCTGACCCAGCTGGAGGACTTCATAAGGTCAGACGTGCTCAGGAAATCCAGCGGCATCTTCAGCATCTTCAAGGTAAGGGTGGAGGACCGTCAGGAGGGATCCCCTGCRTGGCCGCCACCGTGTTTGGAGGCCTGGGGCGGAGGGTAGGGGTCCTGTCCTCTGAGGGCGCTTTGTCTTTTCACAAGTTTGAGGCTGTGGGGTCAGTGTCCTTGGACTTGGAAGGAAGCCCAGCCCTGTCCTGCAGCCGCGGGGCTGACCGGCGCTCCTCCCTCTGCCAGTGGTGATGCCGGGGGGCCTCTGGGAGCAGTGCGGAAGCCCTGCAGCTGCCCGGCAGGCCACGCCAACCTTTTCCCCTTCTGGCCCGCAGCGGCTGCTCAGAACCACGGCTAGATTTAAGGAAGGACTAGTCCCCTCCTCCCAGTCCACACTCTGGTCTGCAACCTGGCCATTGTCCCTCATTCTGGTCCAGTGACTGCCTCCAGGACACAGGGCTGGTCTGCAGCTGCTGGGGCCAGAGCAGGGCCTGAAACTCTGTTGCCTCCGGCAGCTGGGCTCCCCCACTCTCCTGCCTGCTGGTCCCTCCCCTGGGCGCCACTACCTCAACCCTTCCTCTCTGCCACCTTCCCAATGGGCCCATGTTGGCCAGCTGGCCTGTCCCCCTGCTGTTATTCCTCTGGTGTCACTGGCTGGCTCTGGCCCCTCCTCTGTGAGAACYGGGGATTTAGAAATAGAGTCTGCATTGAAGACTCTGCGTGGGAGAGCGAGAGGCGCGTGCTGACCTCCTGCTTCTATGCCCGCCAGGATCGGGGCGAGCAGGAGCTGGAGAAGGTGAAGAGCGCRCTGATCCTCTGTTACGGACATGTGGCCACGCGGGCCCCTCACCAGCTGGTGCTGGCCAAGGTGGAGTCGGAGGTCCTCCGCAACATGTTCCAGTGCTTCAGCACCAAGGTGAGCGCCGCAGCTCCCCGGGGGGCTGGCACTGACACCAGTCTGTGTCTGAATTGGTCTCACTTTCTGTTGTCAGGTTCTGGGAATAAAGGTAGAAACCAAGGTACAGTGTGCAGGACTCGGGGGTGGCCTGTGCTTTCCCGTCTCTCCTTGGGCTGGGCCGGGTCGGGCTGGGCTGGGCTGGCTGCAGGAGCAGAGCCAGGCCAGAGCTCACGGGCACCTGGTGGTACCCCGAGGGAGGCTCTGTCCCCTTGGAACAGCCCCCCTTGTCAGGGCCAGAGTAGCTGAGCTCCTGCCTTCAGGAGGGGCTGGGCTTTTGTCACCTCTGAGCGGCCAGCCCAGGGCCACAAGCCAGGAGGACAGGTGGGCCACCTGCTTTGAGGCACAGCCCCCACATCCCAGGGACAACCAGGGTCCCTTGGCTCTGCTCCCTGCTGCTTTCAGGGCTGTGACTCTGGGCCCCCGCAGCACGCGGGCTGGGCTGAGCCAGAACCAGATCAGCAGGTCTGGAGGCCCCCTGGTCTCACTGACCCTGATTTCTGGCGTCTCTGGCACTGACCTGACCAGACCCACGTGGGGTGGGGGCAGCCGACCACCCTTGGAGAACACAGCCTTCTGGGGCTGGCTGGCCAGCGGGGGCTGTTCTGGTTTCTTTTCCAGCCCGTTAGCCTGGGGGCTGGCCCTCTGTCCCCAGGACGGCTTTCCTCACTCTCTGAGGCCCGCAGAAGGGGGCCTCGCCCAGGCTCTGCTCCCACCCCCGTCTGACCACACTGAACTTCAGGGGCCTGGGGCTTCTCTGACCAGGAGGGCTGGCTGGAGGGCCCTTGAGGCCCAGAGTGGCCATGTCAGTGGCTGCAAAGGAAAGGACGACGTGTGGGCTAGCCTCTGCTGCTGGGCTCAGGCCTRTTGGCCGCAGAAGTGGCCACCCCTGGAGCTGAACAGCACCGGGGGCGGGTGTTCCTCCAGGACCCAGCCCTGAAGCTATGCCTTGTCCAGAGCCTGTGCATGGTCAGCCAGGCCATCTGCAGCAGTGCGCAGGCCAGCTCCTTCTACTTCTCAAGGAAAGCAGAGCTGGTGGCACAGATGATGGTGAGCTCTGGCAGAGCACGCTCTGAGGCAGGGTCCAGGGGAGCAGGTGGGCCGGCTGGGGCATTGCCGACAGGCAGGGTGGGCAAGGCCTGGGGAAGACTGAGGGGGGGGACACAGGTAGGTGGCCTGGGGACGGGACACAGGGTTCTGTGGGGACAGACAGCCCCAGCCCTCCACATGGCCTGAGGGGTAGGCTCGGGGGGAGGGGGGGGCGGGCGCCTCCTGATGACCAAGCCCTGCGGCTGCCTTGCCAGGAATTCATCAGGGCGGAGCCCCTGGACTCCCTGAAAACACCCCTGCGGAAGAAGGCCATGCTCGCCTGCACCCACCTGATGTATCCTTCCTGGCCGTGCGTCGGCGGGCCGCGCTGGGTCACCAGGGCTGGGTCCTGGAGGAACACCCGCCCCCGGTGCTGCTCAGCTCCAGGGGTGGCCACTTCTGCGGCCAGCAGGACTGAGCCCACGCCCATCAGCAGCTCTGCCGTCCTTGAAGGACCAGAGACTTCTGCGTCGCTGGGCTGGAGAGGGCCCTCTGCAAGGGTGACTGCTTGGGGCCCTTAACTCCCCGTTCAGCTCCTTGGAGCCAGCACTAGAGGAGCAGGCGCGGGCAGACGTGATCCATGGCTGCCTACACAGTGTCTTGGCCCTGGTTCCCGAGCCGGACCGGGAGGACGGCGGCAGCCAGGAGGTACTGCCGTGTGTCTCTCGCCCTATGCATGTGTCCACTGGGGCAATGGGAAGACCGCTGGAGGTGGTGGGTCACCTGTGCGGCCCGGTGTCCTGGCTTTCCTTCCAGTCCCTGTATCAGGACACGGTCCGTGCCTTGGAGGACTTGCTGGCGGGCCTCCTGCAGCGGAACATGACTCCCCAGGGCCTGCAGATCATGGTTGAGGTGTGCGGTGGGGGTGGGGAAGGGCAGTCTGCCAGGCCCCTCCCTGTTTTCCTGGCCCTCTCTCCCCACGGGTACCTCAGTTTGATACCCTCTGCAGTGGGTGGTCTGAGCAGGCAGGCAGCACTCCCGTCTGGACAGCCATGCAGGGGGCGCGGCCTGTCCCTCTCCCCCACTGCGTGGTGCTGGGATGGAGAAGCATGGGTCCTGACGTAACTCCTGGCCACAGGGGACCAGCAAGATGGCAGGACCTCGTCCTGCTGCAGCATGTCTCCTTCTCCCTTCACGGTCACAGTGGGCTGGGTGGACCCCTTGGTCGAGGAGGACACCCTTCTAGGGCCAAGGTGGACTCTACCTGTGCCTAACAGGCCTGCTTTACTCTCGATCACCTGGGGTGGGCAGCGTCTGTGAGCAGACAGCACAGGGGTGGGGCAGGGCTGAGCTGCTGCGGGCCCCGGGACGGGAGCTGCATGGGTGGGGAGGGCTGACCCCGCAGGGGTTCCGAGCTGGCCCTCGGGACACAGGCTTCTGCTCTTCTGGGCAGTCCCCAAGCTGGCACCTGGGTGAAGTCCCTTCTTCCTCAGCACCTGAGCCCATGGATCAAGTCCCCAAAGGGCCACGAGCGGGCACGGGCCTTGGGCTTGAGCACCCGCCTGCTGCGGCACTTCCGGCAGCACCTGCACGTCAGCGTGAGTACAGGCCCCTGTGGGCAGGGAAGGGCACGGCCACTCCGCAGCAGCTTCGSGTGCCCCACTTCTTGTGGGTCCCTTGGCTTGGGAGCCCCTGCATGTGGCCCTCGTCCACGGAGCACCCTGCAGGCTCCCCGGCCTTCCCCCTCTGTGCCCCGGCTCGTGTCTCGTCCTTTTGCCGGGACCAGTCCTGGCCAGGAGTGACCCTGGGGTCTGTGCCCGGGCCGCCAGTCGGACGGGCTCTTCCCGCTTGCTTTGTCATTGCCTGTCTTCGTCACGTCCCTGTTGAGACGTGGCCTCACTAAGAACAGAGGCCACCGACCTGCCCGCGGCCCCAGGCCCACAGCCCAGTCTTGCCTTCCGGAGCCCTGCATTCTCAGCAGCAGCGACTCTTGGGGTGCAAGAGCAGCGGGATCCGGGGGCTTGTGAGAGCCCGGGGGAGGGGCAGCTGATGGGGCCAGGCCCTGGGAAGTGGAGAAGGGCTGAGGGTCAGCGTGGAGGAGMGAGCCATGAGAGCCGGCCGGGGACCTGCTCCGTCCCAGGGCGTTGGCCTTCCAGAGGAGGGACTTCCCAAGGACGTGGCCGAGTCACCAGAGTCCTGTGCCTCCTCCCCCTCTGCTGCCCAGCAGGGGCTTCCCCCCGACCCCCTGACCACCCTTCTGCCTGCCCATAACTGCTTCCCCAGCAGCTGCTGTGCTCGGGGTGCTAGGTGGCCCAGGCGGTTAGTGGAGCCGAGCAGGTCCCCTGTGCTGGGTGTGGGGGCCAGGCCACCACAGGGAGGCCCACTCTGGGTGCCAGGGTGGGGACTGTCCCTGCCTGCCCTGGCCTACCCTCTCCCCCCAGGCTCTGGTGCCCTTCCACAACCTGGGCCTCCTCGTTGGCCTCTTCTCCCCGCGGTGTGCCGACCTGTGTTCCGCCACCCGCCAGCAGGCCGTGGACTGCGTCTACACCCTGCTCTACCTGCAGCTGGGCCACGAGGGTGAGCCCGGCAGGCAGGGGAGGTGGCTGTCGGCCAGGCGGGCGGGCAGTGGGAGCGGGCAGTCCTGGGCCAGGCCGTCCGATGCCTTTCCGTCGCCTACGTCCTTCCCCGCCGGCTTAGCCTGCAGTTCAGGCTGCTCGTCCCAGAGGGCCTCAGCCTGGCCCCTCTGGCCCCTCAGGGTTCTCCCGGGACTACCGCGATGATGTGGCCGAGCGGCTGCTCGGCCTCAAGGACGGCCTGGTGCACCCTGACCCTGCCACCCTCTTCCACACCTGCCACAGCGTAGCCCAGGTACCTGCGAGGCATGTGCCCGAGGAGGAGGGCTGGGGCTGCCTGGCGTCTCTAGGCTGTGCTCCAGCGCAGAGCAGGGGATGAGGGTGGGGACATGTTGCCTTCAGACAATGTGTCGTCTGGCCCAGTCTCGGGCCCACACTCCCGTGCCCCCAGCGCCTTCCTCCTGAGGCACCATCGGCCCTGCAGAGGGGTGTTCTGGGTGGTGAGGCTGGGCCTGGGGCAGGGAGCCTCACAGCCAGGCCTCCTGCACTGTAGGCTCCCGAGCAGAAGCCCGATGGCCTCTCTTGGTGTCGTGCACATGGCCTCTCTGGACAGCGGAGGGCTGCCTTTGGCTTCTGGCCTGTGCAGGGGCCGAGGTCCTTCATCCCCCAGCAGCCTGCACGTGTCTCTGTGGGGGTGTCCCCTTCGTCCCCATCTCCTGTACTCCCTGGGCCCTGTGACTAGCCTGAGCTATCCTGTCCCTTCCTKACCCTAGCTTTCCTGGTGGCTACTCAGAGGGCCAGCAGGGCTCCAGGGGATGAAGAAAGTTGCCCCTCTGAGCCCCATGTTGCTGCCTTCCTGTTTTCCCTGGGAGGACCCTCATGGGTCTGAGTCTGACAAAGGAAAAAGGAAGGACGTGGTCACCTGCCCCCTTTCTGAGCGGAACAGAGACGCAGCAGGGGCCAGGCAGGGTGGTGGGAGCCGGTGTTTTGGCTCAGGCAGCTCTTGCTGCCTCTTGACCCTCCCCTGCTCTCCTCGCCTTGACCTCTGGCCACCTGGTGCCCACAGGAGGAGGAAAGGGGCTCCTGTCGGCTGCTGAGCTGCAGGGGAGCCAGGTCCTTGCGGGGGCTCAGGGGCCACTGCGCAGGGGGAGGGACTTGCCGACCCCCTGGGGCCTCCCTGAGTGAGTGGAGTCTGGAGGGGCCTGGCCTCTTGGTTCYGCGTCACCCTTTCTAGATCATTGCCAAGCGCCTTCCGCCAGACCAGCTCATCAGCCTCCTGCTGACCATGTTTGAGGGTCTGGGAGACCCCGACAAGAACTGCTCCCGTGCAGCTACGGTCATGATCAACTGCCTGCTGAAGGAGCGGGGCCCCGCGCTGCTGGAGAAGGCGAGTGGGCCCGGCGTCGGGGGGGGGGGGGGGTGGCAGCTGAGGCTCGGAGGTCCACCGCTGGTGGTCTGGAGGGGGAAGGACCAGCTGGAGGTGAAGGCTGCTGGGCCTGTGGCTGGTCCAGTGCTACATGTGCCTCATTCTGTCACCCATTGTCCATCGGTGGGCACTGGTTGCTCCTCCTGCTTGTCATGGGGGACGGCAGCCAGTGTGCTGCGTGGGCGCCTCTGCAGGCCCCACCCTTGGTCCTTCTGGGGGGATTCCCAGAGTGGGGTTCCTGGGTCTTGGGGTGGCCTGTGTGACGACCTGAGGGGCCTCCCTGCTGTTCTGCACGTGGCCGCCGCGCCCACGTTCCCGTCAGCGGTGCCCGAGGCTGCTGTGGGCATCAGTGCTCGTCAGCTTCWGTTTGTCCTTTTCGTAGTGGCCCCTGAAGGACGAGAGGTCTGAATTTGCCTTCCTAAGACGGTGACTGAGGCCGCGTGCCCCACGTGGTTTTCGGCCACTTGCCCGTCACCTGTAGAGAAGGCTGACTTGAGCCCTCGCAGGCTCTCTGSCCAGGCTTTCCTGGGTTGAGAGGTTCCATTCCAGGCAAAGGACCTGCAGGCGCGGGGCTCGTGCTGTGGGTCACCGTCTTGCTGGGGACCTGCCGCTTGGTGACGTCCTCCAGCTCCTGCTGGTTTCTGCGGCCTGTGCTCTTGTTGTCACCTGCAAGAAAGGGCTTCTGTCCAGAAGCCTTCACCTGCCTTGTCCTCCAGGGGCTTTCTTTAGCCCTGGCTCCTTCTGTTCTGGACAAAGGTAGGCCCTTCATGGACCTGACCTCCCGAGCCAGGGGCAGTGCTGCTGACCCAGCTTAGCGCCTGGTTGCTCTGCGCCTCGGCCGCAGTCGCTCCTGCAGCTGGGCTCTGGCACCGTGGGCCTCTAGTGCTTCGGTGACCCTGTTTTCTTCCCTGCCATGCGATACCCTAGCAGGGGACCTCGTAGAAACCGAGACTGTGTCTGGGCACCTTGGCACACGGCTGTGATCTCAGCGACTCAGGAGGCTGAGGTAGGGAGGATAGCAAGCTCCAGGTCAGCCTCAGCGACCTAGTGAGACCCTGTCTCAAAACGATGAGTACCGAGGGCTGGGGACGTGCCACTGGTAGAGGGCCCTGGGTCAGAGGAGAGGGCTGTGCTGCGCTCTGGGAGCCCGGCCTGCTGTGGGCTGGGGGCGTGCCCTGGGCGCCCAGGGAACATGAGAAAAGAGGAGATCCCAGTTAAAGCTGACCCCTGGGAGGGCAGGTGCTGCTGATTGGACTGTCTGGGAGGTGCTCAGAAAGTCAGACATGGACAGCGGGGCGCGGTGGCCACGCCTGTGAGCCAGTGACTTGAGAGGCTGAGGCAGGAGGATTGCAAGTTCCAGGCCAGCCTCAGCAACTTAATGAAACCTTGTCTCAAAATTTAAAAAAAAAAAAAAAAAAAAAAATTTAAAGGACTGAGGATGTAGCTCAGTGTGAAACACCTGAGTTCAATTCCCAGTGCTAACAGGGTGAGAAAAAAGAAAGAAGAAAGCCTGACACCAAGATAGTACGTGGCCCACACCCAGGTACACGCATCCCCAGGAGAATGAAGACGGGTTCACTCAAAACCTTGTGCAGAAATGTTCATGGTAGCAGCACCTAAATGTCCATGTCAGTGAACAAATGGACAGTAGCTGGACCTTGGAAACAGCCCCACGTGAAGGAAGCCAGACACAGGCCACGTGCCGTGCAGCTCCGTTGACCTGGAACGTTCGGAACCGGCAGACCACAGAGCAGAGGGAGGCTGGGGGCTGGGGGCTGGGGAGGGAGTGGGACTCTGCTGTGGGCAGTGTTCTCGAGTGGCTCCTGGACTGTGTCTCCACGAAGCTGTCCGTGGAGGTGGACAGAGAGGTGAGGGTGCTCTGCAGGGGTGCACGGCGAGGGGAGGACCCTCCGCCAGGCTGGTGAAGATCCACGAGCCCAAAAGAGCCTGGAAGGTTGGGGTACAGCCTCCACCGGGCAGTGGGCTGCAGCCCTCACTCATGGGGCAGGGTCTATTCAGGACCTGGGTGTGTGAGGCCGTCCCGGGGCTGTGAGCGGGACAGTGAGCATGGAGGCCAGACATCCCCAGCCTCCACACCAGCCTTCACAGCTTGCCACAGCCCTGCATGGCCTCACCGAGTGTGGACGAGCCCTGCAGGCAGCTCTGCGCCTCCTCCAGGGGCCGGAGGTGCCCAGTGGCAGAGCACAGGAGGCACACAGTCAGGAGCCCACATGCTGTTCCAGGTGGGACTCTTGGGCCAGCCAGAGTCCACCGAGCTGTGGCAGCCACCTGTCAGGCACAGGTGCGGCCAGAGGAGAAGGGCCCAGCAGTGCCGATGCCAGGGGTGTGCCAATGCCAGGGAGCTGCCACCCAAGCTGGGGCCAGGCAGTGACTGGGCCTCCCGAGCCTCGGGAGTGGGCAGCACCCGGCCTGTCGGCTTCCCCCAACACCTCTGAGTGTCCTTGTTGGCCAGGGCAGGCCCTGCTTCCTCTCCAGCTGCTCAGGCCATTTGGTGAGTCCCTCCGCTGCAGCTGGGAGGTGACCCAGCCTAGACAGTGTGCCGCTGGCCTGCTGTGTGCTTTCCAGGGGCTCGACCTTGGCGGAGGGGCACGGGCAGTGCAGAGGCTGGAGCAGAGACTTGCCGGCCAGCACCCCTGAGCCTGGGGACCCACCTGTCCATGTTCCCCACTGCTCACTGCTCTGGGCCGCAGCAGGACCCTGCAGACCCTGGTGGGTGTGTCCAGGTCCCACCCCCCCTTTCTGAGGCGCCGTCCTCCTCTCCTGTCTTCCCCGGCCCCCAGCGCGCCGCCCAGGGGAGCGGTCGGACTCACTCGAGTTGGGCCTCCAGAAGTCTGTGGGCCTGAGGGGCCCAGCAGTGTCTGCTGTGCCTCCTGGCCCGCACCTGCCCTCCGCGCCTCATCAGTCCCTCTGCCGTCTCCCTTCCTCTGTCCTGCTCCTGGTGCTGGGGTGGTCCTAGGCCTCATGGGCAAGTGCTGTCACCGAGCCCAGCTCAGCTGCTCTCCCCGTGGAATCCGCTCTCCATCTCCTGGGACCACAGGAGCTGGGCCTGGGCCTGGGCCAGCAGCTGGACGCTCTGGTTTCCAGGGGCTGTCCCCCGCAGCCAGGCTGTCCTGGTGGCGTGGGCCTGACCTGGGTGTGCCCTCATCTGTCCTGGTCTGTGGCCTGACCTCCACGTCTCCCCCCTGTCCTGTCCCCCTGCAGGTGCCGGAGATCGTGAGTGTGCTGCGCTCCAAGCTGCAGGAGACCCAGGGAGAGCACATCCTGCCGGCCGCCCAGCACGGCCTGTACCTGCTGGCCTCCCAGCACTGCGCGGCCGTAGTGTCCAGCCTGCTGGGCAGCCCCCTGCCCTTCGACAGGTACCCAGCGCCAGCGGGCCCTTAGGTGGGGCTTTGTCGACCAGCGTGGGAGGTCCTTCCTGTGTGGCTCAGGGCTTGCTCCCCAGYCCCCAGCCCACTGTGTGCCCAGCTTTTCTGAGTGGGTCCTCAGGCCCGGGCCGTGGGGACGGGAGTCCTCTAAGACAGGCCTGCCTGTAGGCACCGTGGGGCTGTCCCTCACTGCTCAGGATCTGGCTGAGGCCCTTCCCAGGTCTGCCTGGCTGCTAGGGTTCCATCAAGCTCCCCACCGGGCCCCGTGCTGGCCCTCCTCTGTGGCCCCCGGGCTGCCCAGCCGGCTCTGACTGCCATGGCTGCTAGAGGCTGGTCCGCAGGCCGTCTCCGTCCAGGCCTCCCGGGCTGGTCTTCTGCAGGGCACCCACCACCCCTGGGAACAGCCCCCATGGCCATGCTCACTTTGGGTCCCTCCAGCAGCTGAGGGACTTGTGTCCTCACAGGACATTCCCCAAACTCACCTCCCGGCTCCCGACCGCAGGCACCCGGAGCTTCTCGAGGGCTCGCTGGCCTTGCCTCTGTGGCCCACCACTGCCCGCCCTCTGGGGCCGCTGCACCCGGGGCGCGCCTGTGAGCTGCCGTGCCTGGTCCTGGCTGCGCTGCTGACAGGGACAGCCCTGGGCCAAGGGGTATCGTGCCTGTGTCCCTCCTGTCGGTGTCACCCTGAGTCACAGCTGTTTCTGACAAGTGCCTTGAAGGCGGCCCGGAGCTGTGCTCTGCCCCTGGTAGGGCGGCTGTGCCCTGGCGCCTGCCCCTCGCAGCCTGTTGTGAGAGCCCCACACCTCTGCTGCTCCCCTCCCACGGTTAGACAGGGGACCCTGTTGCTGTGAGCACAGTGTCCTGTGTGGCTCAGGGCTGGCTCCCCAGCCCCCAGCCTGCCTGAGTGCCCAGCTTTTCTGACGGCGTGGCATTGCTCTGCTCGTGTGTGTGTGTGTGTGTGTGTGTGTGTGTGTGTGTGTGTGTGTGTCTGCGTGTGCATGTGGTGCTGGGGTTGGGTGCAGGTAAGCTCTCTACCACCAAGCTTTCCCCCAGCACTTCTCACGTTTTATTTTGAGTCAGGGTTTTGCTGGCCTCCAACTTGTGATCCTCCTGCCTCAGCCTCTCAAGTCACTCTCGTGTGCAGTCTTCATTTAGTTGAATTTCACCACATATTTACCACTGGGCTTGCTCTTTTTGCATTCCGTGTGTCTTTTTCTGTGGGGGTGTAAATGTGTGCAGAGGGCACGTGTGTCCTGGTTCCTTCTGAGGCCACTCCATGCTGGCAGACCTTAGCACCCCCCACCGGGGGCACTGCTCAGGCACATCCTCCTGACATCTGAGCGCCTCCTCGCTGCTGGCTGATTGCCCCTCCTGAGATTCCTGGAAATGGGTGGGACAGAATGGATGCCCCCTGGCTTTTGCACCGTGTGTGGCTGGGGGGCGCTGGGGGCAGCTTCTTCTTCAGGGCTGTGTCTGGTGCAGCTCTCGTTCCTGATTCCAGGTGGTGGACGTCTTGGGTTGTTTATRGTGTGGAGCTTTTAGGGACAACAATCTTTAATACCTGCGCATCTCCTGCAGGGTACAGGTGGGGTGGCTGTGGGTGGTCAGCAAGCTGCCCGGCAGGCCAGCAGGTGGGTGTGCACCCTGCGTGCCGGGAGTGGGCTTCCCGTCTACAAAGGTCAGAGAAGACCACAAGGAGATTCCAGTTTCCGTGCCTGCCTGGGAGGGCTCAGGGCCTGCCTTATCATTCCTACAGACTGTTTATTTTTGATACTGGGGATTGTACCCAGGGGCTCTCTACCACCAAGCTCCATCCCCAGCCCCTTTTTAATTTTTTTGGTTGTAGTTGAACACAATACCTTTATTTTATTTTATTTTATTTATTTTTTTTTAAAGAGAGAGTGAGAGAGGAAGAGAGAGAGAGAGAGAGAGAATTTTTAATATTTATTTTTTAGTTCTCGGCGGACACAACATCTTTGTTGGTATGTGGTGCTGAGGATCGAACCCGGGCCGCACGCATGCCAGGCGAGCGCACTACCGCTGGAGCCACATCCCCAGCCAGTACCTTTATTTTATTCATTTATTTTCATGTGGTGCTGAGGATCGAACTCAGTGCCTCGCACGTGCTTGGCAAGCACTCTACCGCTGAGCCCCAGCCCCAGCCTCCCTTTTTACTTTTTATTTTGAGACAGAGTCTTACTGAATTGCTGAGGCTGGCCTCAGATTTGCCACCCTTCTGCATCAGCCTCCCAGGCTGATTCTTTGGTTTTCTTTCAGCTTTACTAGATCTTTAGGGTTTCTGGTTCCCATTAGACATTTTGAACTTTATAGTGATTTCTCTGATCACAAACCTGACTGATTCTTCTGAGTCCGAACACCTATATCCGTGAATGCCTGGGCCTCTTTCTGCTACCCGTGGCATCCAGGTGATCTCCCGTGCTGCCTCACATCCCTGTGTCCTGGTCGTCTGTGACACGAGCTGCTCCTGGACCCTGCCTCCTTGAGAGGCTGGTGTTTCTGGCGGCGCCCAGCAGTGCCTGCACCCTCCTGCCTCGGGCCCTGGGTGCAGGCCTGGAGCCCTCTCCCAGCCTCTCATTGCCCCTGTTTATAGACCTCTGAGGTCGAGGAAGGGGGTTCACATCTCGGGTCGGGATGCTGCTTGCCATCTAGCTGGAGCGGAGGCTGCTGTACCTGAGCACTGGGGAGCCGGGGGCTTTAGTGCTGCTGGGCAGAGGCCCAGCCTGGGTGCCAGTGACTGTGGTTCATGGTGACACTCCTCTCGCCTCTCCAGCCACACCTGTGCCCTGTGGCGGGCCCTGGCCGTGCAGCCCAGCCTCACCACGCAGGTCCTGGAACTGCTCCTGGAGAAGATGAGCAGGGACGTCCCCTTCAAAGAGAGCCGGGCCTTTCTGCTGGGCAGCAGCCCTCACCGGGTGGCCACGCTGCTGCCCCTTGTGGTGAGTGGGAGCTCCAAGGGCACCAAGCTCCCCACCCCACAGGGAGGCCTAGGCTCCCGCAGGCACCTGGCAGCTGCATGGGGGCTCCAGGGCTGCAGGCGCCGGCCCAGGCTCGTAAAGCCTGGCAGGTGTTGGCCCCCAAGGGAGCCCATGTCACGTTTCATCCTGTGGAAAAAGTAAGCCAGCCTGGCCACATTTTAAGCAGAAAAGCAGCTGTGGGGATTCCTTCCTCTTCCTAAAGAATGGAGAATGGGTGACCTAAGGCCCCTCCCAGGGCCAGCATGCCTCCTGTCCCGGGAGCCACGCTGCTCAGGACCATCCCTGTGGTGGCCCCGGGATTCCCCCTGCCTTCCTCCGGCAACCCGAGACCTCTGTGGAACCCACGCACATGGGTGCATGCCAAGGGGCGGAGGTTTGTGGGGTCCTGGGGTCAGAGAGCAGAGGTCGCTGTGTCCTAGGGGTTGCGACCCTGCTGGGGCCTCTCCCCAGGCCACCTGTGCACTGTACGAGGTCCTGTCTGCTCCCGCCTCGGGGACTGCGGTGCTAGAGCTCTACCCCCAGCTGTTGGTGGCGCTGCTGCTGCGTGTCAGCTGCACTGTGGGTGTCCAGCTGCCCCGGAACCTGCAGGTCAAGGAGAGGAGGGGCACTGGCACAGCCCCGGCCAGGAGCCTGGAGCCCTGCAGGTAAGGGCTGTATGCTGTGTGCTTTGGAGGCAGGGAGGGTAGCGTGCCTGCTGCCTGGCCCTGAGGGGAGGGCCCAGGAGAGTCTGCTCCCAGGGCCGGCACTGCCCATCGGTGCAGGGTCGGGCCATCGTTGTGCCCAGGCACGTTTTGTGCTGGGGGTGAAGGCCCCCCTGTCTGCAGTCCCCTGGTCTCGTCTCACCTATGCAGCCAGGACTGGGGTCGGCGCTGGGTGGGGACAGGGGTACTGCAAGCCCATGCAGCAGTGCTGACTATGGGTGGCTGCCAGGGACTTTGCAGGGAGCTACCTGTGGTCCAGGATGTTACTCTCTCAGTGGGGCGGTGGGGGGGGGGGGGGGGTGTCTCTGGGCATGGCCTGGAGCCTGCATGGAAGGAAGCTGCCCTAGCAGAGAAGCATCGGGGTGTGCCGGGGTGCTGAGCAGGAGTCGCCAGGCTGCCCTGGGCTTTGTGCAGCGCTCCTGCCCAGCCCCTGGGCTGTCAGGGGTTGGGCTGTGCCATCTCTGTGGAGTGAGCAGAGTCTGAGGGCAGGTGACCAGGGGCGGGTGAGGCAGAACCAGCCAGTGGACTCGAGGCTGGGCTGAGCTGTCCTCAAGATCTAGCAACATGTGTCTCTGTCTCGGGCTTGCCGGTCCTGGTCCTTGGGGTCATTTCTGGGCTGGCATGGGGACACTCAGGGTTACCAACAGTCTGAGCAGTGGAAGAAGACACTCCATGAGGCAGCCTGGCAGTGCCACGTGAGCCCTGGACCGTGAGCCTGAACATTGGCGAGCCCTGGGTTGCCATGCCCCCACCCTGACTGCCCTGCCTCCAGCCCACCCAGGTGTCCAGGTTTGGGTGGGCACCTCAGCCAGGGACACATGGAGGGGGAGCCTCAAGTCACCCACCACCACCTCCAGGGGCTGCTCAGCCTCAGGACCCACTTGTAAACTCAGCAGGTGCTGGTGCCAGGGCTGGCTTGGTTCCCTGAAGACCCAGTGGAAACTGAATGGGAAGGAGCAGCTACTGGCCTGGCCAATCCCGGGTCTGGCATGCTGGACTCAGCTCCGCCTGTGAGCATCCCCGGGAGCCCAGGGCCCCAGACGTTTGCAAGGCCTGGCCGACAGGCCGTCCGCTCAGGAGCCAAACGAGGCTGCTTGAGCCGGAGCCAGCTGTCTCCGTCAGGCACTTGGTCTAGCACCCTGCCCCTGGCTCCCTTGTGGCCCACGGCTGGCCCTGTCCCGTGTGGACGGAGGTGGGATGCTCTGCAGCAGCTGCAGCAGCTGGTGTGGCTCTCTCTGCCTGTGGTCAGTGCAGGCTGCTCCACATCCAGGGCCCAGGACCCCGGACCCCCAAGCCCAAACACCAGACCTCCCTTAGAACTGAGGATTCCTGGGTGCCTACTCAAGCACCCCCTCCCCACCCCGAGCACACAAGGCACTGGTCCAGCTGGTGGCCAGCAGTGAGCCACCTCAGGATGTCCCCAGGGAGGTGGCTGGGCTGGGAGGAAGCCCCAAGCATCGGCTTCCTCCTGGAGCCTCTGCCCAGGTTTCTAGGCTGTGGTTCTCCAGCCCGACCCAGGGTCCTTGCCCCCAGGGGCTGARAGGGCCCCACATGCATGGGCTGGCAAGGCCTGCCCTGAAGCCTCAGCAGTGCCCCTGCCCACCCGGCTGGACACCTAAACCCACTGTTCCCCACACCCCCAGCACACCATAGCCCCCAACACAGTCACAGCCTATCAGGGTAAACAGAAGGCTTTTCAGGCCCAGCACTTGGCAAGAGGTGACCACTGTAGTGGATGGGCTCCTCACACTGCCCTTTGAATGTCTGCCCACAGGGCAAGAGCTCATGGGGATGATGCCTCACAAGCCATTGTAGGGCCTAACCTGAGTGGCCAGTGAGCAGAGAGGAAGGCAGTGGCGTGGGAGCCAGACCTCTGCCAGGGATGGACTGTTCTGGGGGAGACCACAGGCCTTAGTGAGGATGCTAGAGCTACCGGACCAGCCCCCTGCCTGTGACCCCCAGCACTGGGGCCATTTTCCGCTCCCTCACCTGGTGGCCTTGCTTAATCCCTTGGAGCGGGGCAGAGGCCCTGGAGTCTCCCAGTGTGGACATAGCATCTCACTCACAGACACGAGTTACCCAAGGCTTTCAAGGGGCAAGAACTGGCTGTGTGCAGGCCCAGACCTGGGGCCGCTACTCTCATGGCCCAACAGTGCCGGGCTTGGCACATCGCAGCAAAGGTGCTTGGGGGAGGCTGGAAGCTAGATGTGGCCTCTTCCGATGTCCCTGCTACAGTTACGGCTGAGGAATCCAGAAAGGCTGGTGTGGCCAGGCGGCTCTGCCTGCACCCACCAGTGGCTATGGCTGACCCGAAGCTCCCCACCGGGCCAAGAGATGAGGGTCTTTGTCTCAGGCCCTGCATCAGTCATGCTGGGCACCCAAGGACCTCCCTGCAGTTCTAGCAGCCTGCTCCCTAAAGGGTGGACTGGCAGGCCTGGGGGCTGGGCAGCCCTGGAATTCCTTCGCGCGCGCGTGTGTGTGTGTGTGTGTGTGTGTGTGTGTGTGTGTGTGTGTGTACGCGCGCGCGCGTACGCGCACCTGCCTACAGGGGTTCAGCTCCCCAGGCCCTTCCTGGCCCCAGTGGGAAGAGACACATAGAGCCCCTGGGCCACCGGGCAGCTGAGCCTCACACCCTCACAGCTCTGCAGTGGACGCGCTCCAGGCCCTGCTGCTCCGAGGTGGCAGCCAGGACGTGGCACAGTGTATGCAGTTGGAAGGGGGTTGGGAGCTGCTCAGGACCTCAGCAGGGCACGAGGAGGGGGTCACCCGGCTGGCCAGGTAAGCAGGCGGAGTTCTGTCCAGGGGACATCTTGAGAGCCTGGGACCCCTGGAGCTGCCTAGGAGGGGCACCCATGAGGAGGCCATGGGAGGGGGTATCTGAGAGGAAGAGCTGGAAGGCTGGGACAGGGCTGCCAGGAGTTCTGGCTATGCAGGGTGAGGGGTGAAAGCGCCCTTAGGTGCACGTGAGTGGACTGGACCGGGCCTGTGGGCTCCAGGCAGGCTGATTCAGCCTCTGAACCCCTGGGGGCCTCCCTCCCCAGTGCCATGGCCCGGTGTGCAGGGCCCCGGCTCCCCCTAGTGGTGAAGGCGCTTGTGTGCACGCAGAACAGTCCCTACGAGATGCAGAGAGTCACCTCCACCGCCTTCCTGGCCGAGGTAGGACCCTGAGGGAGGTGGGGGTGGCCACGCCTTCCTGCTGGGCACTGGGGAGACACCATCACCATCTCATAACTGAGCTAGAGCCCATAGCTGGTGCTGCCTCCCCAGCCCCTGGTGGCCACTGCCTTGGCCCTCCTCAATGACCGCAGAAATCAACACTTTGGCCAGGCCTTGGTAGTGGAAGGCCAGGGTGGCGATGTCAGTGCAGACCTGAGGGAGGAAGGGGAATCCCCAGCCTGTCCTGGACCCTCTGTTCTGCTGCGGCATTCTGGTAGGAGGCAGCAGGTGGTYACGGTGCCTTTGCCCCTAGCTTCTCAGTAGCAATGTGGTCAATGACCTGATGCTTCTGGAGTCCTTGCTGGACAACCTGGCAGCTCGACAGAAGGACTCAAGTACCAGTGTGCGGAGACTGGTGCTGCGTGGCCTGGCCAATGTGGCCTCTGGCTCCCCGGACAAGGTGGGTCCAGCAGGCCATGGCTAGGTTGTGGAGATCCAGGTGGAAGTGGACAAGGGTGGTGGCTGTGTGCAGCTGCTTGGGGCTGGGGGACAGTGCCTACAGGGGCTAGGAGCAGAGCCAAGACTGAATGCAGGGTTTCCAGGTGCGAGCCCACGGCCCCCAGCTCCTGACAGCCATGATCAGCGGGCTGGACGACAGGGATGACCCACATGGCCTGGTGGCCCTGGAGGCCATGGTGGGCCTGGCTCGACTGCTGGACCTGGTGGCACCCTGGGACCTGCGCCTGGTGCTGCTGCACACAGTGATCCGCATCCGGCCCTTCTTCGACAGTGTAGGCCAGCCACAGTGGGGTTGGGTACTGAAGCCAGTGTTCATGGCCCCTGGCCAGTCCCTGCCACTTCCCCATGGGTCCCCTGAGCCATACTTCCACCTGTCACTTAGGCCCCAACAGGTACTGTCTCCCCCAAGCCCCTAACAAGGAGTTTTTCTGTGGCAACCTGAGTTCTCTTCCCGAGCCCACGCACTACAAGGGACAAGGAAGGATGGCACCTGACAGGGGCCCATAGCTATAGGCTGCAGGAGGGCCAGGGGGGAGGAGCACTGTAAGGTGACAGGGCAACACCTCCGCCAGGAGAAGGTGGAGTTCCGAGAAGCATCCATCCGCCTCTTTGGGCACCTCAACAAGGCCTGCCATGGGGACTGTGAAGAAGTCTTCCTGGAGCAGGTTGTGGGCGGGCTGGTGCCTCTGCTGCTACACCTGCAGGACCCTCAAGCCCCTGTGGCCAGTGTGAGTAGCCGGTGGGGGAGGGGTGGGGCCTGGGCCGGGCGCGGGGCTCAGYGTGGTACCCTGTAGGCCTGCAGGTTTGCCCTGTGCATGTGCGTCCCCAACCTGGAGTGTGAGGAGCTGGCAGCCACCTTCCACAAGCACCTGCAGGAGGGACGCAGCCTGCACTTCGGGGAGTTCCTCAACTCAACCTGCAAGCACCTGGTGAGATGGGCACACGGGGGAGGCCCTGCCCAGGCGAGGCTGTCCACCCTTACTGCCTTGCCTGCCTCTGCAGATGCATCACTTCCCTGACCTGCTGGGCCGCCTGGTGAGCACCAACCTGTTCTACTTTAAGAGCACCTTCGAAGAGGTCCGCGCTGCAGCCCCCATGTTCACAGGTGAGCGCTGGCTGACCTCCTTACCCCCCCCCCCCCCCCCCCCCMCCCTGGGGCCCATCTCCACTCTTGCCACATACCTAACCCCACCTGCTGCAGGGTTCCTGGTGCTGCATGCAGAGCCCAAGCAGCAGCCGCAGGTGGACCTGGAGCAACTGATCGCAGGTGTGTGCCCCCACAGCCTGAGCCCCCCCCCCCCAACCTGCCCTGCTGGGGCCCAGTGACCCTGTGGGCATCTGCGGGGACTAAGTGATTTTCCTGGATTTCAAGATTTTTTTTTCCCTGTCAATGGTGACCTCATCGTCTCTAGTAATTCACGGAAACTTCCTAACTGTTCCAAAAGAGCTTAAAAAACACTAAAAAAGGAAAAACTATCTTTCCGTTGGCTCCCAAGCCCTTCCAGCCGAGCTCCGTTAGGAAGGCTGTGGGCGGCCCCAGGAGCAGGCGCAGGGCGTGCACACAGCCGCCTCTCCCTCTGTCCCTAGCCCTGCAGCTCCTGCTGCGGGACCCAGCACCGGGGGTCCGGGAGAAGTCTGCGGAGACGCTGGGCCGCCTGGTGAAGTTCGCCTGAGGCAGACCAGCAGCCCGACAATAGCACAGTTTGCCTGCACCTGCCAGAGGCAGGCCTCCTCGGACCCTCTGCTGCCAGGCACTACCCAGACCCAGCCCCTGCTGGTGGGGAAGGTGCCAGGGGCCAGACTGGGCAGGGCAAGCCAATGAGCCCCCACAGGTCTCCCAATAAAGCCGTTTGCTCCTCAGTGGGTAACAGGGTGTAGTGATGTGGCCCCTCCTTCTGGGACAGGCCAGGAGGGTGTCCCAGCCTGGTGCAGATGTCCCCCCAACTCCCATTTTAGAAAACGCAATGAGGTGAAGCCCGGCACTGGTGGGAAGGAGGAGGAAGCAGCGGGCATGGGGGAGGAAGCCTCTATTGAGAAGATGCTGGGCACTGGCCCCCACCCCGCAGTAGGGCAGCAGCCTAGGTGAAGAGGCGGACCGTGCCGTCTGCCCCTGAGGAGAAGACCCACGGCTGCGTGGGGTGGAAGGCCACATCCAGCACACCCAGGTCCCGCGTCAGCACATGCCCCTTCAGCACCTTGACTGGCACGAGGAGTGGGTTCTGCAGCAGATCACTGTGGAAGAGAAGGACTCAGGACACAGCTGGACACAAGAGCCTACGGGGAGCCAGACAAGGGTCAACACTCACTTGTACACCATGCCATGGCAGACGATGATGCTGCCGTCGTCTGAGCCGGACGCAAAGAGAGGGTATCGGGGATGGAAGGCCACAGCCCGCAGAGCTTTCCTGTGGTGCCTGGGGGAAGATGGGACTGCTAGCAGGTGCAGGCTGGAGGGGACCTGCCGCCCCACTGCCTGCCGTGCCCCTCACCTCAGCACTTTGTACGGCTTGGTGGAGAGGTCCAGGTCGAACCACACCAGCTTACTGTCATAGCTGCCACAGATGATGTTGTCACCTAGGGACCAGAGCAGCAACAGGACGTGTGCCCAGTGCGCCTATGGTGCACTCCCCAGCCCCACCGCAGGGACGTGTTCCTCACCTGCAGGGTGTACAGCCAGGCTGGACACCCACTTGCAGTTGGGCATCAGCTTTTTGGTGAGCTCCTGGCGCAACAGGTGGTAGACGCGGACACTGCGCTGAGAAGCCACAAACAGGAAAGGCCGAGTGGGGTGGAAGGCCACGCGCTGCACCTGCCCGTGGCTACGGCGGAATGGGCTCTGGCTGCGACGTCGGCTTAGCTGGTGAATCAGCACCTGGGTATGGCCTGGGGTGGCCAGCACCACGGCCAGGTAGTCCCCACGCCCGTGCCAGGTCACCTGCGTCACTGGCTGTGAAAGAACATGAGGCTGGCTTGTTGGCTGGGGCAAGCCCATCCCCCGCCCTCCCCCCACACACCTTATCGTGACAGATGCGCAGCCGCAGGCCCCTCGGGTGCTCCTCCTCCAGGGCCTCCACCCAGCGTGCAGGCTGCAAGGCAGGCTCCTCTGGTGGGGTGAAGGAGCTCAGCAGCTGGTCGGTGCTGCCTGCCAGCAGCCGGTCCCCCAAGGCTGGGTTCAGAAGCAGTACTGCATCATCCCTACAGGGTCAGAGGCAGCCCCTCAGCACAGTGTTCCCCCCCGTACCCTCCCCCCACATGAAGAGCCCTCCAGGACCCACACTTACACGGCCGCAGCCACCAAGCAGATGCTGGGGTTGGGGTTCCAGGCAACACTCCTCACCACACCCCCCACAGGCACAGTCTTCATGCAGCGGGCAGTGGCTACCTCCCAGAGCCGCAGCGARCCATCATCTGAGCCTGGATAGAGCAGGGAAGATGCTCAGTGCCTGCTCCACCCAACCGGCCTCCAAGCACAGGGCTGACCATCCCCCGCCCCAGGCCTACCTGAAACCAGCCACTGGCCCCCTGGGGAGACACTGAGGCAGCGGACAAGGTCACTGTGGCCCCGGTAGACCTGCAGAGGAGAAGCGACAGTGAGGAGACAGATGCCAGGGTGCTGGCCACACACACACACACACACACACACACACACACACACACACACACACACCACCCCCGGCCCTACTCACCAGGGCCTGGCACGTGGGGAAAGGCTGCAGGTCCCTTGGCCGTGGCAGTCTGGGGATGAGGTCTTCAGGGTCCACATTCACCTGGGGGCAGGAGAGCAGTTGGTCACTGTGGCTGGCCCCGGCCCCGCCCCAGTGCCCCTGGGCATGCCACCCCACATACCCTCATCTTCCGCTGACGTGGGCACAGGTACAGATCAAGACAGCGCTCAAAGCGCTCCTGGATAAAACGGCCATATGCAGGGACGGCCCGCAGGCTGGGGAACTTCCGTGGCAGGAAATTGAGCTTCCTCTCTCCAGGCTCCTGCTGTGCCCAGGCCAAGCGCTGTGGAGACCGACCGGCAGGTGGGGTGAGCGGGGAGGAGAGCACCCCAAGCCCAGACCCCACCCCCCCAGACACACCTCCTCCTCAGTGGGCAGATACTCGGGAGGGGGGTTGTAGGACTCGGCGTGGCCAGGCAGGGCCAGCTTGGGGGCAGGCACATGCATCTTGTGGCGTCCCAGCACAGCGTTGGGGTCCTCTTGTGCCCACAAGTCGTAGAATCTGGGGGTAGGGTCTCGGGGCCGGCGAGGCTGGATCCAGCCCATCTTGATGGCATGCACCATGCGAGACACCTACATGGGGAGCCTCAGGTCAGGACAGAGCACAGGGCCTCACCCTGCCTGGGGGACAGGCCTCACCCTGCCTGGGGGCAGGCGGCTCCCACCTTCTCTTTCTCCACCAGGGACGGGATGAAGCTGCGTTTGTCGGCAGGTCGGTTGGTCACTGGGTGGATCATGATGTCCCCGCTGAAGAAGTCCACAGCCGGCTAGGGAGACAGGTGTGGTGTCCAGGCAGGGGCCCAGCCCAGCTCCAGGTCCCCAGGGCCAGCTGTCCCAACCTACCTCATAAGGGTTGAAGCTCACATCCCCAAACTGGCCTCGCTGTAGCCGCTGCACCAGGGCCACCTGCTCATCCGTCAGCCGCAGGTCATGCCCTGTCATCCTGTCCTTCACCGTGCGCCTGGGGGACGGCCAGTTAGAGCCAAAGCCCTTGCTTCCAGACACTCCCCAGGCCCCACCCAGAGGCCCACTGACCAGAAGTCAGGATCGTCCATCTTATCCAGAAACTGGTCCAGCTCATCCCGGGTCCGCAGGGGCTTATAGATGCGCCTGCCATCCAGGTCATAGCCCACATGCGGGAAGTCCTCGTACCACTCAAGAGGCACATTGCCCACTGTGTTCCGGATGTCCTGTAGCCGGGGCCACCATGTCAGCACCTGTCCCACCATGCTCGCCCTCCCTCCCTCCCTCCCTCCCTGTAAGCCACCCTGGGTTTAGAGAGAGAGAGCAAGAGCAAAGGGACCGGCCTCAAGCACCTGAGTCTGGCAGACCCCACATGTGCCCTTTCCCTGGCCCTAGGGTCTGACGTGGCACAGCAGCCGGCGCTGCCGCCCCCCCAGGCCTCTGAGGCCCACAGCCGCACCTTCACATTTTCCACTGAAGTGGTGCCAGCCCTGGCCTCCCCCTCGTCAGATTCCTTGGCCAGGGCTCTGGGCAGCCACAGACAGGGATGACCTCATCGCCCATGGGCTCCCTCCCCTGGCAGGGGCCTTAGGCCAAAATGGGTAGCTAGAGACAGGGATCAGGGGGAGACCCCTCCCCACCCACTCCACAAGGTGACAGAAGTCACTRCACTCTACTCTACAGGTAGCTGGGGACCTCCCTGCCCCTGCTGGCCCTGCCCCCTCCCTCCTTCGGTGGGCAGAGCAGCCACATTCCTGGACTCACATTCCTGGTTTCGGCCCCTGCCAGCTACCACCCTCACTCCTCCAGACCGAGGACTGYTGCCCAGGCAGCCGCTTCCTGCAACAGTAGCCATGGGGGGAGGGGCCCAGACAAGACTTGAGTACAGCTGGGTGCTCAAGGCCCTTCTGCAGCAGGACAGGACCTCTTGGGCCCTCAGCCCCTCTCAGCAGGCCTGACCAGGCCCTCTCCTTGGGCCCTGTGGTCCCATGGGGTAAGAGGTCTCCAGCACCCCCCACATCTACACAGTCAGCCTGTCGTCCTCCACCGTGGGCCTGGGGGACGGGATGGCCATCCCCAGTTGGAGGGGCCCTAGAAGGAGCTGGTCTCATCTGGGTATGCTCTGGTGTTGAGGAGGCTCCAGAAGCACCAGGCAGGGGAAAGGGGGGGGCAGCAGTGGTCTAGGATAAAGAGAGGATGCTGGCAGAAGGCACAGACCTGGAGCAGACAGGTGCAGGGCACAGACTGTGCCACCCCACACACAAGTCTTTGGGCAGCAACTGCTGGGGCTAACTTCTGGCCCTTCTACGCTCCTGTGGCTGGCACACAGCTGGGCGCAGAAGGCCATGTGCAAGCAGGAGGAACAAGGAGGCCAGGGCATCTGGGTAAACCAGGGCAGGCAGAGGGAAAGCCTGCTTGCTCATGGGTTCCCCCTGAGCACCAAGAGGGAAGGGCAGGCACGGAGTTCCTGAGGGGTCCAGTAGCACCTGGGGCTTCCACTTCGCCTGCATCCCAGAGCCAGAAAGATGCTCCAAGGCAAGGTGGGGGGGGAGGCCGCCACGAGATGGCAGGAAGGGGCGCAGAGCCCGCCCCCCCGCCCCCCCCCCGCCCCCAGGCAGCCCAGCCTCACTTGATGGCCGGGCCTGGACGGGCTGGGGCTGGGGCTGGGCCTGGGAGGAGGAGGCCGCGCGGGGGAGGGGCCGGCCGGTGCTATAAAGGCGCAACTCGCAGCCCTGCTCCAGCCAGGACGCACGTGTGCGCGCGGCGCCCGGCAGCCGCCACCGCGGGGCGCAGCCGAGACCCGCGCCTCGCCCGGCCGGTGGCCCGCGAGGCCCGTGGCCGCCGCAGGAGCCGGCATGAGCGGCGCACGGCGGAGCTGACGCCGGCCCCCGGCCCGTGTCCTTCACCATGCTACGCTCGGCACCGCCGGGCCGCTACCTGTACCCCGAGGTGAGCCCGCTGTCTGAGGATGAGGACCGCGGCAGCGAGAGCTCGGGCTCGGACGAGAAGCCCTGCCGCGTGCATGCGGCGCGCTGCGGCCTCCAGGGCGCCCGGCGGCGGGCCGTGGGCCGGCGGGCCGGGGGTGGTGGGCCGGGGCCCGGGGGGCGGCCGGGTCGCGAGCCCCGGCAGCGGCACACGGCGAACGCGCGCGAGCGGGACCGCACCAACAGCGTGAACACGGCCTTCACCGCGCTGCGCACGCTCATCCCCACCGAACCCGCCGACCGCAAGCTCTCCAAGATCGAGACGCTGCGCCTGGCCTCCAGCTATATCTCACACCTGGGCAACGTGCTGCTGGTGGGCGAGGCCTGCGGCGATGGGCAGCCGTGCCACTCCGGACCCACCTTCTTCCATGCGGCGCGCACCGGCAGCCCCCCACCCCCGCCGCCTCCGCCGCCGCCGCCTCCGCCGCCGCCAGCCCGAGATGGCGAGAATGCGCAGCCCAAACAGATCTGCACCTTCTGCCTCAGCAACCAGAGAAAGTTGGTGAGCAGGGCCCCAGCGCCAGGGGGCCCACCTCACCCCTCCACCCACCTGCCTTACAGAGAGCCAGGCTGGGCAGCACTCCCCAGCAGGGCACAGACAGGACATCAGCCACCCAAGCTGGGCCCCAGGGAGGGACCAACACATGGAAGCTGCCTTGGGGAAGGAAGGGCTGTTTTCTCTTGGGGCCTCTTCCTAGGAGTCTGGCTCTGGCTGGAATAGGTCATCAGGATCTGCAGATGTAGGGCCAGGAGGTAGGGATGGCTAGAAGGGGTCACTCTAGGGCAGGGAGCCCAGGGGGAAAGCTGGGTGAACACCAACCTGGGAGATGCTGAGGATTTCTCAGCAAGTTGAGAAAGGAAGTACATATGAGCCCTGCCCTCCAGCAAAAGGGYAGCAATAAGGCACTTTTCTGAAGGGAACCCCTGGGGTCCAGCTATCACCACTCCTTAGCCCCTGCAGCCCACCACCCACCCCCAGGGCTCAGTGAGCACCTGCTGCCCCTCCCCCTGACCCGTAGGAGGCAGAAGGCAGAGGCCACAAGGGACATGGGTCTGGGGGTGAGGGCCAGGCTCTGGGAGATGCTGGCCAGCCTTGATTTACAGCTCCAGCCCAGCTTGGTGGCACCGGAAAAGCAGGGTGAGCAGGGAGAAAATACAACGACTTTTCCCAATCCCCATTTCCTCTCCAGACAGCACGCGCGAGCTCCTGGGGCCTGAACATCTGGGAAATTTAATTTTACAGTTTCGGCTGTGCAGCAGCATACGCCCCTCCCCAAAATGCACGGGGCAGGGGGGGGGCGGGGGGAAGCCAGGAAGGGGGTGCCTTAGCACTGGCCATCTGAGACAGCACCCAGCAGGAAGCCAGAGAGGCCAGGGCTGGCACTGGGTGACACAGGGCCTCTGCCCTGGCCCTGACACCCCTCCTTCCCTCTGCAGAGCAAGGACCGAGACAGAAAAACGGCAATTCGGAGTTAGGAGGAGGGCCCGAGCAGCCAGGGCAGATGCCTGGCGAAGGTGGATGTCAGCGGGGAGGCCCAGAGCCCCAGCTTGGACCTGACCTGGGCATGGGCCCAGAGAGCACCCACCAGGCCAGACCCGCCCCTGGTTGTGAGCAGGGCCAACGGACAGATGGACAGACAGGCAGCGGCCTGACTTTGAGTAGCTCAGCACTCGCCCGGCCACTGGAACTTTCCATGCTGGCTCCCTACCTGGGCTAAGTGTTGGCATCCTGCATCTCTGATGTGATAATATAAAGTGTGGAAATTTTGTATAATTAAAAAATGGAACACTACCTTCCAAATACGGAGGCAGACTATCCTCTTGAAAGGTTCTGAACTCGCGCCATGCGCCCTCAGCTGAGCCTGCACTCCYGCCCCTGGAGCTCCCCATCTTTCCCTGCCTGAGGCGCCCCAGTTCCCTGAGAAGCCCCGGCTTCTAGGACTAGACTGAGGCAGTCTCGCAGAGGCACCCAATAAGAGTCTCCTATTGGGAGACTGTGGGGTGGGGCTGAGGACAGGCCAGAGGAGAGGGACCCAGGAGGGAGCAAGCCCACTGCCCTGCAGGGACAGCAGGACATGCGCAGTGTGGGGCCTTAAGGCTGGCTTATAGATAGGCGGCTTGGCCAAACAGTACTCCTCAGAGTGGACATAGGGTTGGCCTGATAGCAGCCAGGTGACAGCCACATAAGTGCCACACTGGGGCCCACAGCCTGCCAGGGCCACCCTGCTCTCCTGCCTCTGTAAGCTGTCATTGGGCCATAAGGTACCCTGCCCGGAGCAGCACACTGAAGGAGGACTCCTGGATATCTACCACTCTCCCACCCAACTTCCTGAAAGACCCCACTGGGCTCCTGCCCAGCAGGCCAACTGTTACAGTCTTACAGGGGACAATTTAGTTTAGTGGCAGAGCTCTGTGGGCAGAGTAGAGAAGAAAGGCCAGGCAGTCCCATGCAGACCACCTTCCCCACTGATGCGGGCAGCCAGCAGCCTGACTTCTGGCCGGGTGGTAGGTAAGGGTGCCAGGTGCAAGAGGCTGGTGTCCCAGGATGCTCCTCAGACCCTTGCCCTCCTGGCCTTCAGCACAGGCACTGCTGTGCCCCTGCCCTGGGGAGCCCAGGTGCTGAAGCCCTGGGCACCATCACAGGGCAGGGCCAGAGCTGCCCCTCCTCTGTATGATGGGCTCCAGGGAACATGGAGCAGGAAGCAGTGGTGTAATTTTGTAGGAAATTCTCAAAGCCAGAGCCATTACGGATGGGGGGTGGGCTGTGTCCAATGTGATAGAAATATAACAGGATAAAAAGTCTCAGCGGCAGGTTTCATTCAGAGAGAAACCCAACCCCAAATTTCCTCCCCTTAATCCTGCAGGAGCCCACAGCTGGCCAGAGGGGGGAGGAGAGGGCACATTTGCTGCAGAAACCCCTGCCTGCCCAGGGAAGCCAGGCCCGGGGGACCAGGGGTGCAGCTGGGGGCTGAGGGAGGTTCTTTCCCTCCCATGTGTTCTCCGTGCAGCACCCTGCCCAGCCGCCCTCCCACACAACAAGATCACTGTATGATGCTGGGCAGAGTGCAGGGCATGACCTGGCAAGAGGTGCCAGTCCCCGCTGCAGGTCCCGGGAGCACTGCAGCTTGCCTCCCCTCACACACAGATCTGGGCCAGGCAGGGGTGCAGACAGCCACCTCTGGTTGGAGTGGCCTGGGCAGTGTCGGGGATAAACCAGAGGATATGCACTGCAGAGAGCGCTGAGGGAAAGTCCCCAGAGACCAAACCAGGGGGACAAGAGGGAAAGCCCCCCAGAGACCAAACCAGGGGCACAAGGGGGCACAGCCCTGGAGAGCAGAGACTGCCAGCCTACACAGCAGGCGAGACTGGAGACTGTGTAGGCAGCCAGGGGCTGGAGCAATGGGGGCTTGATGGCTGGCACCAGTGGGCACCCCACAGCCTGAGCCAAGTACAGGAGGAGGGCCAGCCGAGGCAGGAAGACCTGGCACAGCACAAGGACAGGGAGTGCAGGCATGGGGTCTGAGCAAGACTGAGTGGAGGGCTATGGCTGGGGGGTTAAGCAGGGCCAGGTGGAAGGGGACAGGGACAGCAACAGGCCTTGGGTTGGAAGGATCTCCAGGGGCCCAGATAGTCAGGGTGCGGCACGCGCCCGGCCAAGGCCTCTGTTGTGGGGCCTGACTCCGGCAGCGGCTGCAGCTTGGCCAACCTCAGGTCTGGGCAGCCGGCCCGGCTGCTCCCCAAGCTGCACCGGTAGCAGCAGCCGAGGGGCTGGCCCAACAGCCAGCAGGAGGAAGGGAGGGGTTGGGAGGAACACTCCATCACCCTCCACCACTCCAGATTCAASCCAGACCGGGGGTGGCGGGGGCCTCCCCAGCCTGTGGCCCCACACGAGTCCCACAGCACAGCCGGCTGCTAAAGGATGGCAGGTGCTCCCTGCCCACCTCGGACCCTGTCTCCCTTCCAGAGTCTGGCCTTGCCCTCCACCAAGCTGGGGGGCTGTAGGACGAGGATGCAGGGCTCCTTCTGCATGTGCCCCACAGAGGCAGCTGGCAAGGACGGGAGGCCCCTGCAAGCAAAGCTGAGCTGGAAACGCTTGGTCCGGCGTCGGCTGTCAGCTCCCCGTCCCCAGCCTGGGGAACGAGCCGCTGGCAGCACCACATGATTCATCACCAGGCTGCCTGCGCCCCAGACCAGCCACCCCGCCCTGCTCAGCACCTGCAGGCTGCCAGGAAACACATGTGACCCCTCTGGGTCAGGCACCACACTACAAGACCCCAGCCCAGGCTGGCCTAGGCACAGACAGACACAAGCCCAGGGCTTTCCTTGGGGGCAACATAGCCCCAAAGACAGGCCTGTGGAATAGGGCTGGGCAGGGGTCCCCCTACCCCAGACTGCACCGGACACGGCAGCAACTAGCTGATGTGTCGGCTGGGACTTTTCCGCTCTCGATGAGCCCTATCCCCTCCCCCTCCCCAAAGTGGCTGCAGCTGTCAGGACCGCAGATTGGAACTGCAGGTATGGGGCTGGCCCGCTGCCCACCTCCCTCCCGTGTCTGTCTGCGAGAGAGGAAGCCGGCCCACCTCTGGAATCCTTCACTCTCTCCTCGTTCCGCCTCTCCCACCTGTCCCTCGGGAGCTCGGGGTCAGCAGCCTTGCTCAGTCTCTCTCTTCCCCTGGCCCCTCTCCGATTACAATGCGGGTAGTGTTCAGTGCTCACTCAGCTCCCCCTGCACAAAACGCCCGCCTCGGAGCTTACGGCCTTCCTGTGCCTCTGCTGCTGCCTCCCCCTCCCAAGGTGTCTTATCTCTGTCAAAGTGCTCAGGGCCTGCGGGCGGCCATGAGCTCTCTCACCTGCAGCACTGACCCCATGAAGGTTCCAGCAGGGACGCTGGGCCATAGAGCCCACACCAGAGGCCTTCGCGACAGACCAGAGGGAAGACAACCTCTTCCTGACCCAAGTCCAAACCCGTCAAGGGAACCCAGAAGGGGCTGGGGCCAGCAGGAGGAGCCACCTTCCCACCTCCTGTCAGACTGCCCCACAGTCTGTGCCCAGACACCCTGGCCTCCCTCTTCCTCCCACCATCTGCTGGCCCATCCCTCAGTCATCAGGCACATGTGGCCCCACTGCCCAGATTCCCACTAGGGAGTGGGGACAGTGAGCCACACATGGGTTTGCAAGGTAGGGAGAAGCACCCCTCACCTAGAGGGTGCCCCAGGCCCAGACAGCCTGGCCCTCTCCCAGAGCTAGACAGGTCCCGTGGGTGCTCCTGTGCCACACACCCCTAGTCTGGACAGCAGATGCATCCCAGGTGTTTCTGCAGGAATGCTGGGGTCGGGGACATGGGCTCAGGCCGTCCTTATATATCTTCGTGAGCTGAGGGGCATATTCAGAGATACAGTGCTGCTTCTAGCTCCCCACCTGCTCAGCCCACTCCCTGGCTCTAGGCCTCTGAATCTCCTCTGGAAAACCCTAACCCTGAGCACCCCCAGATACACAGAGCTCCAGCAGCCCGCTTCCTGGATGGGCCCTTGCCCTAAGCCCCAGCACCCTCACCCTCACCCTCCAACACCCGGCTCCGCTCCACAGGCCTGCTCTCCAGATGTCCTCCTCAAGAGCCTGCACCAACACCACCACTCTGTGGGGACTGCTGTCAAGAAACTGGCCCTGCCTGAGTCCAGTGTGGTGGGCCAGGGCTTTCACCCCCACCAAGCCCAGCACAAGCCAGGATGCAGTTCTAAAGGTCAACTCTGCAGTTCTAAAGGTCACTGCAGGAACCCTGGAGAGAGTGCTCTGTACCAGGGGAAGCTGGCTTCCACCATCTACCCCTCGTCACTGACCACCCCTGAAATGGCAATCCTCAGCCAGCAGGGGTACTAGGACACAAAGGGAACCACCAGGCTGAGGGCAAGAGTGGGAGCTGGCAGTCTTGTCTCCCTGGCCCAGGACACTCAAAGCCACATACGTACACCCATGCCCTGGGCTGCTGGTGGTGCCCCTGGGTTGGCATCAGTGGGCTGATGCCCACCAGCAACCCCATTCAGAGGCAGGCATACAGAGTGGCCCTGGGTGAACGGCCGCCAGGGCAGTCTGCAGGCTCGGGTGCCCTCCACAAACAGAGCAGGGAGGGCCACTCACTAGCTCACTCACTGGAAACCTGAGCCGACAGGCTCCCCTTGCCAGCAGCAACGAAAGCAAGAAAGCAAGCAAGCGCCAGAGTACGTGGGGCGGTGGCCAGGACGCAGGCGGGCGGGGGCGGCCCCGAAGGAGCAGGAGGCCGCCAGCACTGGAGGCAGCTGCCGTTTCAGTAGCTGGGAGAAGCCATTAACGGTGTTTGGCGAGAGAGCAGAGAGGATCGCGGGTTCTGGATGCAGACATGCGGGGCGCGTCCCTGCGGGATCCCGAAGCTACAGCCCAGGCAGAGCCAGGGGTGCTGGGGAGCCAGGCAGGGCTGCGRCCCAGCCCCCAGCCCCAGGTCCACCAGAGGGTTCTAGTGGATGGTCCCAGGCCAGTGCCWGTGGGGAATGGATGGGTAAACTAGTGCGGGGCATGGCTCCTCCCAGCCAGGGC